AAAATAAAAATCCAGCGTTCCATCAAATGCACTCCTACACGCGCTAAAGCTTCTTTCACCAGGGAATAATAATCATCGCCGGTCGTCCCTCGGTCAACGAGAATCCCCAACAGCGGCTCTTTGATGCCGAACCCCTGAAGAAAAGCTCATGATCGTGAACAATGAAATGAAAACTGGCCGGCGGAAAAGAGATGGCTTCCCTATTCGAACCGCATGCCAAAAGAGGCAAAAGAAAAACCCGCTTTCGCTTTTCTTCATTCTGTACCTCTCTTCCAACGAAGACCGGGGATTTATTCAAAAATATTGGGTGGACCATGAAAAAATCTTACGAAGTTTTATGCGATTGGAACGAATTAAATTTCAGCTTATCGCCATCTTTATAATGTTAACCGAAATCATGAGTTAAGTTTCATGGGCTGGCAATTTCAATCTTATAAGAATAGCAGGGATCTTGACAAAAGCTCTCAGTCACCAACAAATAATACGCCAAGAAAACTTTTCCGTTCTACAGAGCGATATTTCAGGGATTTCTAAAACATTTTTGACAGAATAAATTAACAGATTGGTTAGTCAGCAGAGAAACAAGTTATTCTTGATTTCCTTCTGGTTCGCCCCTATTTTATTTTTAAATTTAAAAATTCACATTAACCCGCTATAAAAAATTCACCCAAAGCATTTCAACTCTTATCATCCACAGAATCGACGGTCACTTTCGTCCCACGCCAAAAATATGCACATCACAGTCATATTTAATTGACAAAAAGTCAGCTGTCCAAAAAAGAGAACCATACATCATCCCGAAAGAAACTGTTCAGAGGAAACCCCCAGGAAGATCACACACACAGACAGCAAGTGCAAAATAGTCAAACTAAATGAAGAAAAACGTGGCTCTTTCTCTCTCTATCTCTCTTGTAACAGAATCTTTACTTCTGAGAGAAAAATTCCACAAGCTCCGAGAAGAATACAGACCAAAATCGAGGGGGTTTCAGTAAGTTTTTTTTTGCATTCCTTTTGCTTCTTACTTCCGGGACTTCCTCTTTTTTGGGGCACCAAACTGTTACCTGGACCTTTGTTTGTGTGCTCCCTGCGGTGGCCCTGCTGTGGAGGGCTCCGCGCCCCGAACAACGCTGGCCCACACCTGACGTCGTCCTTGACCGACGCTCCACAAAGCAACACTAGACCGCAAAAGAACCCCTTCTTCTTCTTCTTCTTTGCACTGCTAAAATGCAAACACGCATCCTATTCCTCCGAAGGCAGTGTGCTCTGATGCCATTTTCCGGAGACATTCCAGAGGCGAGCAAAATCCACATTATGACCCGCAACACGCTTGACTTGACTTCGCCAAGGACCACAAAAGTAGCGTGTAACCTTCCCTCCCACGATCAAAAAACTTTTAAATTATTTCCTTTTCGAAGAATCTCTGTTCGTGTTCACCTCTAGTACATACGCAAAAAACGTTAAATTTTAACGATCATTATTGACAAGTGGATTCATAATTAATAAGCTGTCTTTGAATTTCATATGGACGCAGGTATAATATATTTTCGCACGATTATAATCCATCTACAATTCCAACTCTCTTCTTTCCTCCCATCTGTTCCTTCATGTGCAAAAACTGAAGAAAAAAAAAGCGCAACAAATACTCACTGAAAATAATTAAAATCGTGATCCAACGAAAAACATAGCTGCACCAAAGAGAACGCGAGACTATGAAAAAATTAAGAACAAAATTAGCACACAGACGACTTGACCCACAACTATGACATTCCACCTAAAAATTGCGGGGCACGAGTTTCAAGAATGCAAAGACAAAAATTAATCCACCGCATTTTCCCCTCTTGAGAGAACGAAGAGCTGGCTCATTTCAGGTGAAAAAGAAAATATACATAGGAACAAAAAAGCCTAATCCCCAACGGATCTCGAGCGGTCCATTCCGAGGCAAATGGCGATTTGCTACGGCAATTCGCAGGTTGATTTTCAAAAAAAAAAAAATGAGGGGGGATGGAGAATACCAAGGTCGGGGATAAAATAATCAAAAATTGTAAAAATAAACCAGTGACACGATTCCACCTGTTCATCAGCACATGAAACGAGGCCGGGGCATAGAAGGAGAAGACGCAAAGCAAGCAAGATCAAGAACAATGCTCGGAGGAGAAGCGAGAGAGAGAGAGAGAGAGATGCGCAAGTTGCAGGTGATGCGCCTCGGGCCAGGGAAAATCGGGACGGGATCGCAAGGCAATAACAGCACATGCCTGGAAGGGGCGAAAGCGTGATGCAAAAGAAAGAAGAAAAAAAAAGAACAGGAAACAAAAAAATGCTCTCCTCGCCGAATGTTTCCCATGGCCTTTCCGGCGACCCCGGGCATATCCAGCATTGCTCGCAAATGTCCCTCCTCATGGTCGTCAACAGAAAGGAAAATAACCGCCCCTCACTACTCATCTGCACGCGATCATCGCCTCCTAATCATCCCCCGAGCATCTTCTGCATTCGCATCACGTCTCATCAAGTCTCTTCTTCCTGGCAGAAAATCTTTCCTCTGTCTCTCTCTCTTCCTTGATGACCCCAAAAAAGATGAAGAAAAGTCCCAAGATCAGCTGAGCGGAATTCAGAAGCCAAAAACTTTTCATCCAACCCCTTGCAGTGACCACCGAACTAGAAGCACGAAGAAAACCCGATTCAGTGCAGGGTATCGTAGTGTACGACAGTTTACCTACGCAGAATAAGGTTTCTTATGAACTTTGAAAATTGTTGAAATTCAAGCTGCGGTGACATTCATAAATTCATGGCCGCCTGTGCATTAGTTCTCATCACATACATTTTTTTAAATACAGTAACTCCCAATTCAAAACAAAACAAGGGTCACGAGAATATGAGTAAGAAGTGTTTCTCCAATACGAAAATCAGGCGACTGCCAAAAAAAAAACCACTCTACAGTACTATCATATTTTCAATCACTTGAACAGATTCAGAGCTGATTAAAAATCAAACTTTACTAACTGAGTCTCATTCGGCAAGTACCCAAAAGTTTCCAGCAATAAAAAAAATTCTAGCAATCGGTAATCGTAAAAAATCTCCAATTATTTTTTCAAGCCTAATCCTTTCTTCTCCGCCCACGCGAATCACGTGGGTTAAAAAATGAGTTCAATGCTTCTTCCCGCAAGGTTCAAAACAATACTCAGCCAAAATAAAATTACAGTACTGTACTTGTGAAAAAGGCTAATTAACCCTCGCGGTAATTGTATGTTTAGGACTTCCGCATTGCTTTTCAGCAAGACACAACGCGGAAATCAACTATAATATAGTCTGAAATGAAAACTATAATGTCCAGAGGTAACCTAACCTCACTGTTCAAGTGATCAAACCAACCACTAAATTACTCCATAAAAAAAAAATTATTATTTGCGACGCGAGTCAAAAATCTACCGTTATAATACAGTTGGAAACTCTCTACAACAAAAAGTAACGGTCAAGAAATAAATTTATGCAGAGAGAATTTCGTTGTGGAAAATCCCTATAAAATGGCGAGAAAGCCCTTTGGGACCAAAAATAAATCTGTCATACAGAGAAAATCGCTGTAGAGACTAGAGAGAGTCCACACCTGTATACGAACGGAAAACCGCAAGTAAAAACCATGTCCGAGCTTCTGCACTCAAAAAACAGTACAGCAACTGTACTGTCCTGTACTTGCAATTCGAGGTCTGATTTCAGCCCTTCGACGTCACAGACACAAGATACGGAAACAAACCGAAAAGAAAATTGGGGGAAATCTCAAAGTGACTCTGGATCATCACCGGCGGGATTTCGGGGCCTCGCCAAGAGTCCAAAGCAAGCGCGTGTCCAAAATAGGAAGGAAGGAAGTGAGGAAGAAAGGAAGAGAATTACTATGAAGCGAACCAGACACGACGGGGGAGAAATAATGCTGGACGAAGTACTCGTCGGCAGGCGTCCCGAGGCCCGGGCAAGAAGTATGTCGGGCCCGCGGGCAGTGCTGACCTTTTCGGCCCGGAAAGCGACCAAAAATAATATGATGGAAATAAAACTCAGGACAAAAAAACAAAAAGTGATTTCATGTGCTGGCGGCTCGAGTTCGCATCCACATGATACACTTCCACGATCCCTGACAGAAGAGCAGTGATAGACGAAAAATAAATCGGTGCCCGGGAAAGTACGTGAACGACCGCAGGGAACTTGATTAAACGAACGGATGGATGGATGGACACTCGTCTCGACTGTGTCACTTACAAGAATATACTCTGAACAAGGATTTTTTTTATTATTTGCGGTCTCGTCTGACACATGCCTTCTTTCATTGTACTGTACTGGGTTAGTACCTCTACAAGCGACGAAGAGAATTCGGTTCTGTGAGTGAAGACTGTAACTTAGTTAGACGAATGGACATGCGCCCCTTGAAACGATTTGCTTTCGCGCGATAACATTTTTACAAAGACAACTTTCCTATCCCCCGTGACACGTCTTCTAAAAATCGAAGTGTTGATGCGCAAAATGATTTTACTGATTTAGTTCATGGTCCTCTGGGTTGAAGAAAGTCGTAACATCCCTAGGAATGGTTTGACACATCCAATGAAAACTAATACAATAACTTGACACGCGCTTTCTTACGAGATTTGAGCGGCTTTTTTTTTTTTTTACAAAAGATGTATCTATCAAAACACATTAACTTGTCAGGTAGTTTTATCAGGGCTGTTCATAATTAAATTACATTTCTCCTGATGACAAAAGCTAAAAATATTTTAAACAGCTGTGTCGACGATAACTGCTTTTTTAGGCTAAGGAATACAATTTATTGTATTTTATATGACTAGAAACTACATCAGTACCTAAAAATCTCGAATCCTCCACAAATTATCGGGTCTCCCACGCATACTTGATCAAAATTTCCGAGAATTTAATATTCATCCCCCTTCTTCGCAGGTAAGACACTAGAATAATTAAACGAAGAAGTTTTCTCGATAGCCCCCCTGTCAGAAAGTTTCCCTCTCAGACGTTGCACGCATCATAGGGCGATTCTTCCACACAAAAAAAAAACCTCTCCAGAAACTCCGGGAACCATAATCACCCATTTTATGGCGGCGGAGGTACTTTCTGGGGTTCCCTTGAACGTCGTCTCGAATAAAAATAACTTCCTTCACGCCAAATTGCTCAGGCAGTATTTCGTAAATTTGAAAGTTGAATTTTTTTCTCATTACGTAGACGCAAAAAATCCTTCGCAAATGTGAAAAGTCAACCAACAACGGTTAAGCCGATTCTAACACAGCAACGTTATCCTCGAAAAGTTCCACGTACAAGGAAGGTAAAGTACAAAGGAAACTTTTCAACCATCCCACGCATAAATGGACGAAGAAAATGTACCTTTTAGCAACTTGCAGATCATTCCGTCCGTCGACTGCAAAATTAAGCTCGAATTTTTTCCCCAGCCACAGTTTTCGCACGTGATGCAGCAATTCCAGGTTCGCGCAACTTTCACATTCCCGACGATGAAGTTCCCAAAGATACAATTTCCCCGAGTTCATCACCCCAAAAAAGGGTACAGATCACAAGGAGGGGGGGGGGGGACGATGGAATTTTTTCCTCAAGTCGTTCTACCATTCTCTCACGTGTCTCGCCGCGTTTTTCAAAAAGACCAGCGAAAATGAATCTCACATGCGGGCCCGTAATTCACGCAAAGCCCCCCTTTGGCCCCATACAATAATTAGCGGTCCGCATGCGAGCAACAAATCTCGCTCAAAAGCCCCTCGATCAAAAGTAGGAGGAAAGCGGCATAATCTCGACACTCCCATCCTCAAATTTATTCCCACAAGCCTAAAAAAAAGTGTCCGATCAGGAAACATTACTCAACGAAACATACCCTGAAAAAAAAGTACACCTGGATTACCTGCAGACTGCGACACGCACGGTAAACCACGTGAAAGATGCTCGGAGATTAATTATTTATCCTTGGGAACACCCATGCAATTGATACGGCTCCCTGCGAAAACCCCGCGGACAGAAGACCCCCACCGACATAAAAATCCCGCAGACCAAAGGATTATAAATTTTTCATTACTTTCTTTACGATTAGGTACTAGAAAATGATACTATTTTCTAATAAATAATTCATTGATCAAAAAATACCAAAATCAAGAATAAAAGTGTCGTAAATCAGAAAAAAATTGATAAAAACCATGAATATAAAAATTATTTTTTTTTTTTCAGTTTAGGGGTGGTGCTGAGAGAAGAACCCAAAATTTGCGGAAGGATACGTGCGATGCTAGA